TAGTGGAAATTTTGAGTAGTTCGGAGCACCGGCAAGTACATCTGGCTGGCCCCAGAGTGTGGTAGGAATGGAGGTTTTGCAATATCCTTCCCCCAGGAGTGGGGAGGGAATGGGGATTTTGCAGTATCCTTTCCCTGCCATGCCCACCAAGCCATGCCCACAGAACCGAGGGTAAAAAATGTGCATTTCACCACTGCCAACAATGCAAATTTACAATTATCAATCCCAGAATCAATGCAGCTTGCTGTGCTCCTGATCTGTTCTGAAAGAAAAAAAGATGATGATAGTAATGAAATTGGGAAAAACAGCAAGAAGAAAAGGATGTTGAATAGTGATAAATTACTACCATAACAGAAAAGATGCTGGAAAATGGAGAGTGCAAGAATATAGACTTATTATTCTATGAATGCTTCCTTGGGGAATAAACTCAGAGCTCAGAAGTGCATAAAGGAGGGCTGCCATTTTATGCGTATTTGCTTAGAAGAATCTCGGTCTAAAAACACGCGCATTAAATCTGGTTATACATCTGCGATGCTACGTGCGATTTTACTTGGGAATGATCCTATTATGCTCAGGGGAACTATGGAAAAAACAAGCACGCACTTCACTTTGTTTCTGCCGGGCACTCCCAGCCCTACTAGTCTCCGCCTCGCTTTCTGAACAAGGAGATGGTGGGCGTATTGGATCCGCTGACGAAAAGTCAGGCGGGCAAGTCTTTCTAGGTGGAGCCATCGATTCTGTTTTCCATTCCGCGTTTTCCAACTCAGCATACTAAATTAGATCCAGCTAGCGTTAACTTCCAGCTCCAGGTTTTGCAGGCAACCTACAGCTGCTTAGTGCATCTGGTCGGCCGCGCCTTCTCCTCTTCCTCTTCCTCTTCCTCTTCCTCCTCCTAGTGTATGCGCACCACTAGCTGCTAGTGCCCAAGAAGCCGCCATGTCCGGAGAAGAAACTGTCGGAGAAGATGCGGGAGCCCCTCAAACCAGCACCGTTGCTCCTCCCGCAGAGCAGCAGCAGAACGAAGGAGCAGTGGTGGAGGCAACAGCGACTGGCGGGGAGGGAAAGGCTGCTGAAGGGACATCGGAGGAGGCTCCCGCCGTTTCTACCAGTACCACTGCTTCTGGTCGCCCGTATAGAGCACTGGTGCTCACGGGCTTTGGTGGTTACGAGAAGGTGAAGGTGCAGATTCGGCAGCTGCCTCAAGCGGAACCCAGTCCGGGCGCTGGCCAAGTTTGCGTGCAGGTCCGGGCCTGCGGGCTCAATTTTGCTGACCTGCTGGCTCGCCAAGGGCTCTACGAGAGGCTTCCTTCGCCGCCCGTTAGCCCTGGCATGGAGGCGGCGGGAATCGTCCTGGCCGTGGGCGAGGGCGTCTCCAGCCCAAAGGTGGGTAAAGTGCTCTCGGCGCACAACAGACGTAGGCCACCACGCCCTGGCCAGCGTGTCTGCAAGATTCAGACGCGGGGAGTGGTTGGCAGCAATTTTTTGCGCCGCGGCTGCGAATAACGGCTGCCCATCCTAATCGGAAATGACTGGGAGGCAGAAAGATGGATGGTGGGAGTAGTCACTATCCCGATATTTAGGTGCAAGAAAATGGGTGGGGTACCTCGAGGCGGTCGGGAAACGGCCTGCAGTGCTGGGAAGACCGAGACTTGTGGGTCTAAAGGGTGTGTGTGAGAGAGAGAGAGACACACAAAATCTAAATGTGAGTTGTAGAAGAAAGAAAATGTGTAAAACTGACTAAGGGCCCCACCCTGTGGATTAAGAGGTGGGTCGAAGGATAGAAGTATCTTTGCCCTTGTAACTGGCAGAAAAGTGGGTGTGGGCTTCCTTGCTAAGACAATGAGATGTCAGACTTCTCAGCCAGCCAACATAATCTGTCTTGGCCTCCTTGCTAAACTAGGGCCATCCAGAAGTGAGGGAATAGATTCAGAAGATAGAATTCTAGGATCTCTCTTGCTAAAGGCTGGGAAGTGGGTGATGGTTACTATGGGAGACATTTTTGGAAACTGACCAATCTTTGATGACCACCAGGACATTTTGCTTCCTTAAAGGGATGCGGTTTTTGTCCCTGGCTTCCCTTGGCCTCTAGCTTAATCCTTTGAAGATACGTGGGGGCACAGGGATATTGGGTGAAGAAGAACTATATCATTACTCATCTTAGCCACTGAATGAAGGTGGATGGGGCTTATCCTAAAAAGGGATTCAGAAGCTTTTTGAAATACAAATCCAGCTGAAGCCCTGCTGCAACAGTGAACTTTTGCCCAACCCACTCCAAAGCCTGGAGCTCTCAGCCTTGCCCAAAAGGGTGGGATGCAGTGGGCAGAGCTGTCAACCCTTGACTCAAGAGAGCCCTTCTCAGCCTGGTTAGAGAACAGGAAATGGCCTGCCATTGGGATCAGGATGCAGGTTTTCACATTACCTATTTGTAGAATTTTGTATTTCTAGCATCAATATCTTTTCTCAGTTTTCTCACAAGCTATATGGTATAGTGATGCTTTTTCTTCCCAAGAGTTTAATCTCTGGATTGTTTTTCAGTGCCTCTGTTCAACCTGAAACACAAGGAAATATTGACACCCATATTCACTCACTCTCTCACTCATTAGAAATTGCATAGGGTATTCCACTCTGGGAGGTTCCCCTTGTTCCCTCTGGGAGGAATTCAAGGATTACAACTGTGTCTACATCATCTACATCTGCTCCCCGCTCCTTTTCTTTTGGGAGCATCCCCAGTTATTAAGCTGAAGCACAATGTGCTTTCACTGTACTTCTTATCTGAGTTCATAAATCATGTGTTGTAAAACAAGCTTGAAGCATATCTAATCTGCTTTAAATGGGGGTGGGTGGAGTAAAGAAAACTGGACTTGGCCCCTGTTTCTGCTTTAACCCAAGGGCAATTGCAAAGATTCTAAGTGTTTTTTTTAAAAAAGCCACTGATTAATTAAATAAGATGGCGTGGCAGTGGGGAATGGGAGAGGCAATGGGCCTTTCTTCTTAGTCATTTTTGTCTTGTAACAACCCTTTGATGAGTCTGGATATGCCAAAAAGTACCGTATTTTTTGGAATGTAAGATGCACCTTTTTTTCCTCAAAAGAAGAGGCTGAAAATCTGGGTGCGTCTTATGCACCAAATACAGCATTTTTGCCTCCCAAAGCTCCACCCCTTCACCAAAATGGCTGTGCATTGCCTTATGGAGACTTTCAGAGAGCTCCTGTGGGCTGGGGAGAGCAGAAATGAATAAGAAATGGGCCATTTTTGTCCTCTCCCAGCCCCCAGCAGCACTCTATAAGCCTCCATAAGGCTATTCATGAAATTTGGTTTGATGAAAAACAAGCCATTTTTGTTCATTTTTGCCCCTCCCCCAGGAGCACTCTGCAAGCCCCCCCCCCCAAGGCTATTCATGCCTTTTTGGGGGAAAAACAGGTTTGCAGAATGCAAAAATGTATTTTTTTTCTTTTGGAAAGCTCTTTAATTGATTGATGAGAATTGCATTGATCAAGTGCCAGCAGAAACACCTACCTATCTAGTGTATTTCTCTCTCTCTCTACCTTTACTTACCTACCTACCTACCTACCTACCTATTCTCTCTCCCTATCTACCTATTGTATTTCTCTCTCTCTATTTCTCTCTATCCTTCTAGCTACCTACCTAATCTCTCTCTCTCTCCCCTACCTGCGTACTGTATTTATCTCTCTCTATCTCTTTCTATTTCTCTCTCTATATATATCCCACTACCTACCAACCTACCTACATACACTCTCTCCCTCCCTCCCTAATGTATTTCTTTCTCTCTATTTCTCTCTCTCTCCTCCTACCTACCTATTGTATTTCTCTCTCTTTCTCTCCCTCTCTCTCCCTCTATCTATCTACCTACTTTTTTTTAATTTGCCTCTTCAAAACCTTGGTACATCTTATACTCCGGTGCGTCTTATACTTCAAAAATACGATAATACCTGGACAGATACATTACTCTGATAGGTACAAGGTCAATTGTAAACTGGTGTTCCTAGTTCTTGTCTAATTGCTATATTTTCATATTGGACAAATGTAGATCATGCCTAAGAAATTTCACAACTGTATTACCTTCCTCCTATCAAATATATCCCTGAATGTCTCTTTAAACACAAATCTATTTCCTTTCATTAACTTTTGAAGCTTGACTTTCTAAACAGTTTGATTTACATGTTAAGAACCTGCCAATGCATGCATTTATTGATGTAGACTTGTTCCCAGGCAGAGTTAAATAGCCAATTAAAAATTAGATCTTTTGAAGAATTAAGACTGCTTTTCTTTGCAAACCAGTGTTAATAAAATTTAACAATTTCTTTACATAGATTATGTACAGAATGATCAACCAACTGTTTAAGGAGGACTGGATTTCATAAGGGGCAGTGTTTTTTTGCCACCTACAGGAAGACATTTCATGAGCAGCTATTTTCTTTGCAGTTAACTAAGACCTGATATCAATCTTACCCTTGAAATAGGAAAATCATTTTGCTGGTTTCTGTTCAGAACTTGAAAAGCTTCAATCTATCTCACAACTATTTAATTGGCAGGGATTCTACGCAGTCCTCAAAGGTCCTGCCTCATGCTATTGTTCTCTATTGAGCAGGATATTAAGGGAGATTTGTAAGAAGAAGATGTGGCATTTCAGCCGATTTGGTTGAACAAGACTGGCACAGAACAAAGGCTGGACGTACCAATATGACACACCTAGATACCTTTCAAATTATCTACTAATGATAATCCTGATTGGGACTAAGATTTATAATTGAATAAATCTGGAAATGCCAGTTTGGGGAATTTCTAAAGTGTTTGATCTCTGTATTTTTTAAAAAATGGCAAGGTTTTAAAATTTTGTTTCATTTACAAGAGAAGGGAATAATCCCATGGAATATTCCAATCAAACTAAATTCAGGGGTGGGTTCTGGCCAGTTGGATGTGTGCTGTGCGCACACATGCAGCTCAATGGAAATTGTTCTGTGCTTGCACAGAACTAAAAAACAAGATGGCGGTGGTAACGGTGGCAACCAGGGAACTGTTTCAGAGGCGTGTCCAGCCTGGGTCGCTGCTGGTTCTGTGACCCAGGCCGGCATACTGCTACTGGTTCAGCTGAACCGGGCCAATCTAGTAGGAACCCACCTCTGGCTAAATTGGATCAGAACATTAAAATATTAGTGAATATTGTTTGGGGTGGCAACTTGTAATGGTGTGAAGGGCACAACTCAGCCTAACAACCTGTTGAAAGGCCATAGTGATGCTTCTAGTAATGGAATGATATTGCACTGAAAAAAAATTCAGATTTTTTTTCATGGCTTGAAGTTGGCTAGAACAACAGCAGGAAAATCCCTGTCATTTCTGTCCTTCACCACCTCCATGCTCTCCAAAATGGTCTAAAATATATTGCTAATATTAATCCATTTTGCTGCTAAAATTTGGCAATTTTAGTGTGTATGTGTTTTTCTAAATTAGGGATGCAGTTAAGGGTGGAGAAGGGAGTATTTTATCTTTCAGGGGCCTCATGCTCCCATTACAACTCTTTTCAAAAGAAAATAAAAGAAAATTCCTTAATGATTTTTACGTCCAAATTTCATATAGTGTGTAATCTTCAGGGGGAGGGGGTTATGGGAAAGGATTAAGAGTCGAAATGAGAGTGATTGGCTTGCCATTTCTGTCTTCATTAAAAAAAAGAAGTACAAATTTAAAAAAGAAAATTCAGTTGCATTGCCCCAAAATTTTAGCAGTACAATCCTAGGATGTTTAGAAGCTGTGTCTTGTTTGTTACTTAGTTACTATACATTCTGAAATCTTTGGCAATCTAATTTATTTCCTAGACATATATGTATTTGTACGTATGTAGACATCATGAAATTAAGGTAACTAGAAGCTTTTCAATAAAAAAGTATTAGTTACAGGATCAGTCTTTATCCTGCTGCCTTTTTGCTTTGTGGGATTTCAGGTTTGTACCCTCCAAACCATGCCTGTCTGTTAGGCTATGGAGTTCTATAAATCAAACACAGAGAGATTATTGGAATATGTAGGAAAGAGTCACATAATACATCAATTTTTTGAAAGCAATCATATTTTTTTCTGGAATCATACAACCACTTTGTTAATCTTCTATTGCGGCAGAATCAAAGAAGGAAACCATGGCAAGTTTAAGCAACTGCTAACAGGATATGTATACTTTGAAGCACTTCTTCCCTAAAATGCTACATAACTCTAATGTTGCCCTTATCATCCCAGACAAGCTAGAAAACAGACTTGTATATTGGGATGGATTGTCCATGAAGAACACACTTTTCAGACTTAATAGACATGGGGGGTGGTGGTGGTGTATTTTATACATTCCCTCTCTTAGGTGCCTAATTTTTACCATACACTGT